TTTTGGTTGTTTTCTTGTTGGGTTTTGCTTCTTGGTTCATAAGGTTTATGATTTAAGTCGTTGGTTCTTATTTACTAGAACAGAGGGCTAATGAATACAAGCACAAAAAACATATAAAAAAACACACATAAGTAACACTTGGTTAGAGAAGTGTTATAAATTATCATCATCTCAGATAGCGCTTCTGTTAAAAAATGTTATCTGATCAATATTATAGATAACGCTTAATATAAAAAGTGTTATGTGAAAGATTCTTTACATAGCGCTTAATATAAAAAAAGTGTTAATGTGAAGGGTTCCTCACATAACGCTTAATATAAAAAAGTGTTATGTGAAAGATTCTTCACATAACGCTTTATAAGCGTTATCTGAGAGATCGTTTTTCAGATAACACTGACTCCGATAGCGAGTAGCATGTTTAGGACCTCTTCAATTGTGTGATTTGGCGACTAGATAGTGAACGAAGCTCCGAAGAGCCTTCCTTGAGAACGACCCGAGTTCAGGTAACTCGGTTACCAATTGCCCAAAAATATTACAAACAGAAGATAATCAAAAGGAAACTAATTTGGTATATCGTACATGAAAAAAAGATAACAACTAATAAGTAATTATGTTTTAAAATATATTTATAATTTAAATTAACCAAGTAGTTTATAATTTTGAAAGTCCAAATAGACATGATAAAAGTCCAAATCAACATTTATTAATCCAATCTATCAGAATTGGACACATAGAATTCGAAGCTCAAAAAGTCAACACATTTATTAAGAAACATTAAAAAATGATATATTATCTTGGAAAACTCTGCAGAGAGTAAATTCATTTGAAATTTTGATTGACATTTAAAACTTTTTAAAATTCAAGACTTTTTATGATTTTTTGATTCAAGTGGAAATCTTTAAAAAAAAAATCGCATGTCTTCTATTGTATTTTTTCTTTAAAATCATAATAATTCATAAATATAACAGACAAATTCAAGTGATAAATAAATAAAATATCTCATAATTTTTAAATGATTTTGAAATAATAAATAAACATCTCTTGACTTTTTAATAATTTTTAAAATCTCAAAAGAATACACAAAAACTCTTAAAAATCTAAGTTCTTAAAAATTCCAATGAATACACTTGCATTTATATATGGATAGAAAATATGGTACTTTTCTGAACACATTGTCCTAAGAGAATCAAAATGGGCTATGCATGGTTTGACTCTCAAGTCTCACCTACTGGCTTGCATGTTGATAGTATAATCAAGAAAACGACCCATTTTGACCATTCATAAAATTAACTATTGACTATAGTTAAAGTTTCCCTCGGTCGGAACCGTTCACTAGATTACAAGTTAATAAATCTCTATCTATGCCAGTTACCACCGGAATCATGTAACCCAAGACTTTTTCTTTTTTTTTTAGTTTTTTTTTTTGGTACAGTGACCTTCCAATTTCCGGATCCACAGGAGAACCGACAAATTCAGAATCGAGTCGGGTCTTAAGTTCTTTTCTTTGGTTTTAATAATATGGGGTTAGGTAATTGCTTTAGGACTTACGCATGTGCTGTGGTTGACCTATAATGCATCGCCCTCCGTTAGTAATTATAAATGGGTTTTATTAAATAACTAGTGCGCATCCTGTGCGATGCACGGATCAGATTGTTACTTAAAACATCTTTTAAAACTTTATTTTAAATATAATTATTTATATTTAACATCTCATTATTGCAAGAAAATAAATACAAAATATGAATAAACATATATTATTTATGTAAATGGAATGAGTCTCCACAACCAAACCAATAACACCCAACACATGTTATATGATAAAATTAATTATATACATTGTACAATAAAAAAAATTGTAATTATGAGATGAAAAATGACAAGCATATTTGAAAAATGTGGAGCCGTATGATTTCCGTGCTAACTGTTGGATTCAAAATGTTTAATTTTATTTGGACGGACGACATAATAAGAATATAAACCATAAATTAAATAAAAAATCACGTATATGAAACTCTTATAATATGGTTGCTAGTTGGAAAAATACAGAAATAAATCAATATGTATAAAAGTGTTCCACCGATGTGTAAATGTAAAAATATGTATTTTATTATATAACATGTGTAAAATATCTAAATGTTCTATATTATTATTCTAAAAAAATGTGTGAAATCACCTAAATATTTCTAAACTATTACTAAAAAATATCTAAAAAAATTATTAAATATTATCTCATATTGATTTATGATGTTCGACATTTTTAGATTATTAAATTTATGTTAATATGTGATATTAGACTATGTTATCTCTTTTAACTTAGAGGGTTTAAATCTAATTATAATCAAATTTGTTCTATTACATTTATGAAAATTGATCTTTTAATTCATATGTAGCCAAAATTATTCTCTTAACATATTTAAAGTTACAATTTATATGATATTTTAATGGAACTTTTTATATTGTTTAGCACGGTGTCCTAAAAAAAAAGTAAAATTAAGATACAATAAAATTGATACATATAAAAAATAAATTTCTTTATATATTATAATTGCACAATCTCTAAAAAGTGGTATGATTTGGAGGAAAAATTCCGAGACGACTCGGCTTTTTGGTTTATTATTATTATTATTGCACGATATATAAGATTGATACATATATAGAGTAATGTTTATAATTGTAAAATTTTGTAATTTTGCATTGGTCATACTATGTTTAAAAAAAAAATGTAGAATGCTATTCAGATTTTAAAAAACCCGAGCCGTCTTGGTTAAACTAACATTTAAAATTCCGAGACATATATGGTATGAAAATATAATTGTGCAATAATATTCTTGAATATTTTTTCCCAACAACAAAGATTGGTCACATGCAATTAATCTGTTGAAGAAAATAAACAAATCCACGAGAAAAGAAGAGATTGGATTAGTATGAAAGTAGGGAAAGCATCTGTTTTTGATAAGATATTTGTTTTCTTACTAGTGTGTATCCCGTGCGATGCACGGACAGACTTTTTACTTAAAATATTTTCTAAAAATTTATATTAAATATAATTATTTATGTTTAACATCTCATTATTGTAAGAAATGAAATACTATGAAAGGTTATATATTATTTATTTGAATATAATGAGTGTCTCCAACCAAACTAATAACATCCAACATATGATATATGATTAAATCAATTATATGATCGTCATACATTTTTAAAAAAATCATCAATTAAGTTGAATTATCCGAATTTAAAAAGTAATTTATGATATCATTGATCATATTTACCCGTTGTATTTAAAGATATCATTGACCATATTTTTATGAATTAAGTTTTCAAAATATCTTTTTCAGAACATTTTTTTAATTTGAATTTGAATTTTTCATCCAGCCGCCATTTTCCACAAAAAATAAAAAAATAAAAACAGTACTTTTGGAAAAATTTAGACGTGAAAATCAAATAAAATTAATTTAATAGTAATCGACTAATTTAATATTATTCAAAATTGTTTGATTCGGTCATAACCAAATTTGATTGGGCTTATCAAATGAAATTTTAAGAAACAAAGTATTATTTATATAGTTGGATAATCGTTTGATTTCATTCTAAGCCAAAATGATTAGGCTTATCAAATAATCATTTTAAGTTTTGCTTAATCTGCTTTAGTTTTTGAATTTTGTAGTTATCTAATGTTAACAAATTTAGTGTTTTGGATAGTATAGATTCAAAAAAATCACAAAAAAACTGGTATATAATCTAAACTCAAATTCCTTTAATGTTGTATATGGTATTAATTTTAATTTATTGTGATGTAAAATTTTAAAATCATTTGGCAGATAATATTCCAAATTCGACAATTCTGTCGCGCCCCAAAAAATCATAGAATATCACTTGAAAATTTGTTTAACAATGAACAAATAACAATATCCTTTTAACAATTAACATTATCCACTTTTTTACCAAAATATTATCCAATTGTTTACCATACCATGTATCAATTAACAATATCCGATTTTTTATCAAAATCTTATCATCTTAGTTAACAATATTTGGTATCTAATTTAAACAAATTGCATGGGAGGATTTCAAGCAAATTTCATGGGTGAATTATTTCAAACAAATTATATGAGCGGGAAAAAGCAAAAAAAAAAAAAAAAAAAAAAAAAAAAAAAAAAAAAAAAAATCCAAAATTGGTAAAAAACAAAAAAACACAAGCGGAAAAATGTCTTTTAAAAAGCGGGAAAACGAACCTTTTCGATTTATTTATTTATTTATTGTATATTTTCTCAGACAATTTTCTGGTTCCCTATAATATTTCAGTTACACGGTCCAACTTTTCTCAAATGGTGATAAATATATTGTTTAGCTGACCGCCGACCGCCAAACTGCTGCCGAAGAATCCCACCCGCCTCTCCACGCGCAGCAGCCTGCAAAATAAAACAAAGGACACCAAAAGATAATGAGAAACCTCATCAAATATTCACATGGGAACCACGCCACGTCGGCCGTTCGACAGAGCCCATTGGCCGTCACGTGCCACGCAGCCACCGTCAACAGATACCAATGTCGGCGGCATTCACCGGACTACGGCTTCCCAGTCGTGACATTAAAAAGAAGCAAAATAAAACCAGTTAACCAATTAGTTACACAATTTCTTAAATTTTTCTGTCAAATTAACCAAACAGCTCTTGGCTAGTTCAGATTTCGAGCTCGATATTTTCTAATTTTCAGCTTGTTAATAGCTCAGTTGTTGAGCGCTTGAGCCAGTTGGAGTTCGATTATTTGCTCATTTTGTTAGATTGCATACTCAAATAGGAGCAAATTTGAACAAAACTTAGCTCAATTTTCCCAGCGTCGGCAAAAAAGTCTCCATAATTGTTAGAGCCGCAAATTAGCAGTATAACCAAGTGACATTTTGTAGGAAGAAAAAAACAAAAAGGTCACAAGTTTAGCAGTTAAAAAAAAAAATTGAAACAACTCCTCTCTTGTGTTTCTCCCCAATTTCCTTCCCCTTACTATTGAGAATAATTCCTAATCGGCACGTGGTAAGCCCTGGCCTGGCAATAACGGCTTTTCCCGGCGACGACGAGATACCCAACGACCGGAGACGCGCACCGCCTCACTGCCGTGGGAGGCGCGTACACGCGGTAGAAGATGGTGGCGGAGGGAGGAGCAGCGCCGCGCACCTTCGCGGCGGAAGGGAAGTCGAAGCACGAAATTGGAGACGACGGCGGGGTGATTTTCTTTCCAGATCTGGCCGAAAAAGGCACCGCCCTAATCTTCGCCTCCGGCGACGACGACTTCTCGTGCTCCTCCACCACGCTCCGGAGCTCTTCATCGGACTTGACCGTGACCAGCACGTCGAGATCCTTACCCGACAGCTTACACGTCAGATTCACGGAGTATCCACACGATTCCCCAAACTTCACCATCAGCTCTGTACAAAACCAGAAAAAAATTCAGAACAAAATAAATTTTTTCAGTTTTTCTAATGATAATGAATATGTAATAAAAGGAAACAAAAACGTATTCAATGCGGGATTATGAAAAAATCAATATGGGATTTGTTGTTATCCCATTTACCAAATCCCTTCCAAAAAAAAGGAACAAAAAAAGAAGGAAATAAAAGTATGATATCAAATAAAAAATTGAATCCTAACAAATCGCCACCAAATCGCTACCATATCGGATAAATGTATGTAAATAATAGACGGGCATAGACGGGAATATGAAAAATATTTCAAAAAAATTGACCGAAAATGATATAAAAGCGGGAAATCAAAGCGGGAAAACCAAAGAATTTTTTTCGAGTTTTTCAAACATTTTTTCTTAATCGTATTTTATAGTAATAGAGTTATCTCTATTAAGTAATTAATGTATATCCTACCTAATTATCTTCCCCTAATTAAATCCCATTTGCTTAAGATATTTTACACATTGACTTTTTTTAAAATTCAAAAAATTGTCTAAGGTGGGATAAACAATTTTTTTTTTACCAATAATAGTAAAAAATAAAATTTTGGGCGGGAATTCTAAAACTATTTTTGTATTTTTTTCTTATCTCTATTATATAGTAATAGAATAGATGTGACTTATTACTACTTATCGCCCCAACAAAATAGTTTTATCCTTTTTTATTTTTAATTTTTAATTTTTTTTTTATGCTGGTCGGCCGCTAATCGCGGTCGCAACTCTCTCGGCCGGCCGGCTAAGGCGGAAGCCTCTCGCCCAACCGGCCTAAGGCCGGACCGACCACTCCTAAGGCCAGCCTTCTTTGGCGATAGGTAGTTCCTTCTCCGACCGGCGGTCGGCCCGAATTTTTTTTAAAAAGTATTTTAAAAATATATAATATCATTTTTATTATTAAATATTAGAGAAACCGATTAATAATTATTAAAGCAAGTTGGTACAACATTTGTAGTCATTCTTTGCCTTTTATTGGACTTTCTCATTCAATGTAGGATAATTGCGAACCAAAGCTTTCAGTATCCCAACCTTTTATAGCCACTTTTGGCCTTTATTATGGTATTTATAATCGATGTAAGATTGTTCCAAGCCTCTAGCCTTTTATAGCTACTTTTTACATTCTTTTTTGCTTTTAAAATCAATGTGGGACTAAATGATCCATGTTTTAACACACTTTCATAATGTATGTCAAGATGAATGTCACATTATCATTAATTAAATTTATTTATCTTAATTGATAAATGATCAAATTTAATTAAAGGCAAAATTACATATAAAAGCACCACCTTTCATGTTTTTGCAATTTAATCACCACCTTTGCAATTTAGCAATTTAATACACCACTTTAGTTATTTCTTGCAATTCGAATCACAGGGCCCAATTTCGGGCCTATTCTTGTGACGTGGCATTTTTGTGGTGACGTGGTGTTTCCACGTGTCAAGACGTGGCATCTTTGGGCTGACGTGGCAGTCTATTTCAATTGAAAAAAAAAATATGTAAGCCTTACAGTAGGAGGATTCGAACCCTGGCCTCCAAAGGAGAAAGATAGCTATGCTACCAACTCACACATCCATGTTAGTTAACATATTCAATAACAATTTATATATATGGGAATTACTTATGAATAAATCATATTAGATTTAGAATAATTAATTATATTATATTAAATTAATTAAATATAAAATTATAATAAATTAAATTAAATGAAAATAAAATAAATTAAGATAATTAAAATACAGAATTTTATTAATTCATATTTTGTGTTAGAGTATATTATTTCATAATAAGTTATTTTGTTTATTATTTTATTTTATTTTATTTGAATTCACCTTTTTTATACTTTATCATCTTATGTTATATTATTTTTATTATATTTTAATAAATATAACTTAATATTAAATAATAAATAAAAATAAATAAAAATCCTAAATAAATATAATAAATTAAAAAATATAATTTAAGTAAATAAAATGTTAAATATCGTAAATGAATAATAAAACAAAAGTGTTATTTGTATATAAAATAATAAAATATTAAAAATCTTCAATGAACAATAATTTATTATATAATAATAATAATTTATTATATTTAAATTTATTTTAAATAAATAAATAAAAATATTAAATAAATATAATATTATTAATACGATTCACTCTAACACAAAATATGAATTCAAAAAAATACATTTTAATTATCTTATTATATTATTGTTTAATCTTATATAATTTAATTTAATATAATTAAATTATCTTTTTGATTTAATTTGATTTAATATAATTAATTTATCTTTTATATTTAATTTGATTTAATATAATTAAATTATATTTTAGATTTAATTTGATTTAATATAATTAAATTATCTTTTAGATTTAATTTGATTTCTTCATACGTAATGTGTATATATATAAAAGGTTGCTATATTTAACAACTAAGTTGGATTGGTGTGGTGGAGAAAAGGCTGCCCTTCACCCCTTTTGACCCAGGATCGAATCCCATATAGGGCGTGCAACATAATTTTTTTTTTAATTGACACATGGGTCGCCATGTCAGCGCATAAATGCCATGTAATTGACATGTGGAATGTCTGTCAGCAAAAAAATTCCATATCAGCAGAACGGGCCGCCACGTCAGCAGAACAGGCCCGAAGTTGGGCCCTGTGATTCAAATTGCAAAAAATAACTAAATTGGTGTATTAAATTGCTAAATTGCAAATGTGGTGATTAAATTGCAAAAACATGAAAGGTGGTGCATTTATATGCAATTTTGCCTTAATTAAATGAACATAAAATATGGAAAAACATTATGAGTTTTTACATAATAAAAAAATGCACTTATCATCCCACTTACATTTCTTTTTTCATTTTGTTAGTGAAAAAAAATAATATTTAAATATTATAGATATATATAAGTTACTATTAGTTAGTTTAAGTATTTGAATGTTTTAAATTGTCTTAATATTTAATTATCAAAATTATACATATAAGTTTTATCATATAAATAATATATATATGTTTAAAAGTATTAAAAATTAATAGAGTTGTGAACGAACCGAACATTCGCGAACGAAAGCTCGTTCGTGTTCAACAAAAGCTCGTTCATTTGTTAATCAAGCCGAGTTCGAACAGAAAATTAGGCTCGTTTAATAATCTAATGGACACGAGCTCGTTCGTGAACGTTCGATTATGTTCGCGAACATTAATTTAATATAATTATATTTATTTTCTATATATTTACATAATATTTTTTATAAAAAAAATATAATATATAAAATTATTGTTATTTTATTCTTTTTTTTTTTCGTGCTCGAACGAACAAATTTTGAGATAATCGAACATATTTAAAAAGTTTATGTATTATATTATTCGAACAGAACGAATTCGAACTTTGACGAACGATTAAACGAACGAACTCGAACACGATTTTTTACTCGAAAAATAAACGAATGAACCCGAACACTGTTTGAACGTAAACGAACACGAGCTCAAACAACCCAAGATCGGTTCGGTTCGGTTTGTTTACAACACTAAAAATTAAATAACGATCCAACCGGTTCAACCACTTGTCGAACCAGTAAACCATTGAACCAGTAGCTAGACCGATTTGATGACCCGTCCGGTTTTCAGAACCTTGGTTATAATTAATATATTATATATATTAGTGAAATTATAATTAGTATTGTAATATAATTAGGCCACACGAGTTTATCTTGATTTTTTTATAATCAAATTTTTATTTATTATATAAATTATACCATGGATGGAAAGATATCAAGAATAGGCGGCGTCGACTTTTGGATCATGAGGACCTCCTCTTGGAGCAAAATCTCTTCCAACTCGGCCGTCAAGGTCTTTTCCAGCCGGGCTAAGCTAGGAGATCTACTGCGATGTAAGGACCGCTGGATCCCCCCAATAAGAGGTCAATGTAATCGAGCCTGAACGTTGCTCGAGGGCCGATTTCCGTCCAGCCCAAGGTCATAGAAACGAACTAACTAGCTAGTATGAACTTTTAAATAAGGCTCATTAAGTAGACCGCGTCATGCCACTCCTTTTTTTGATAAGAACTTTTTCGTCCACCCTGATCGACGACCTAACTTGACTACCTGTTTAACCAGGTGATGAACACCAAGACAGATTTCATTCGTTAACCCACCTCCTTTTGCTTAAAGTTTCGAAAGAGCCCCGGAATGGTATGTGGAATTCGGATAAGACAGGATCTTAACCCACCCTACTTAATTGAACTAAGTATTGTAGGCGTTGGGTTCCTCGCATCTAAATCTTTCACTTGTCGACAGAAAAGGAAGTAGTGTATCTGAATTCGCCTTCTTTTCTATGAACACCCCACCATTGAATGATGAACTTTGCCAGTCTTCGCCTCCGACCCGACCAGGAGAGAACACAGGGTCAAGCCCCGCCTGAATTGAATTTATATCTCCTTCGTCTGGGAGAAAGCCCGTAGAACCAGGCTTGCTTAGCAACTAAAGCTAGCTTACTAACGCGAAGGAATTGATCGTAGATTTCACTCTTCGTACACTTCGCTGCGTAGCGGCAATAAATCCGCTCGTTAGCCTGACCGATTTACACACCTATCGTAGGCCCTATGGGGAAGTTAAATAGCAAAAAGCTATTTTCCTCTCCAGGGACTTCATTGCGCTTTGTTCGTTGGGTTCTCTCATCTTTTTTTCCAGGTCAAAAAAGCTGAAGTGAGAGTTTCATCCTTCGAAGGGCTCGATATAATTGCAAGTAGCAAGTTCGGATTCAGGATTTCTCAAGAAAGAAGCAACCTCTTTTATGTCGATGGCACCGCAATGTCTTCCAATCGGATTTTCTAAACCTTATTAGTTGGCGTCCCAAAACACAGCTTTACTAGTCGAACAAGGATACAAATAATTATGCCTTTCCGTTTGCGACCTTGGAAGTCAGGATTGCTGAGCTAGGACAAAGACAAAATTTGTTATTTAACAGTTTAT